ACCTTCCACAGCTGCTGGGTGAGCACAGCGGTAAACTGAGTTCCCTGGTCGGAGAGGATCTCCTTAGGGAACCCTACTCTAGTAAAAATCTTAACTAGGGCATCAGCTTCTGTCTCTGCCTCTATATTAGACAGCGCTACTGCCTCTGGATAATGCGTGGCATAGTCCACCACGGTCAGAGTATACTTCTTCCCTGATGGACTAGCCCTGGCCAGTGAACCCACAATGTCAACAGCTATGCGGGAAAAGGGTTCCCCAATGATAGGCATCGATATATGCTGAAGGAGTATCAGGAGAGACCTGAGAATATTGCTGCAGTATGCGCCCCTGCTGCAGATGATCCTGAGAATTTACCCCTTCCCGATTTGCTAGAAAGGGACCCCCAGACTGACCTCACTAACCTTGTACAGCTAGGGGACAGGTTAAACCCCACAGAAAGTGAAGCAGCTGTTGTGGGAGAAGCAGGCGACGTTCTCCCAGGAGCCAGGTTATACTACCCTAGCTGTACATAAGGTAGACAGACCCCCCCTGCGACAGCCGCCCTATCGTATCCCTGAAGCAGTCCGAGAAGGAATGCGGAAGGAGATACAGGAGATGACCCAGCTTGGGTTCATCAAACCCTCCGACAGCCCTTGGGCCTCGCCTGTAGTACTGGTGCCCAAGAAGGACGGGACCACTCGGTTCTGTGTGGACTACAGGTGACTCAATGAGCGGACCACCACTGACGCCTACCCGATGCCCCGGGTAGACGAATTACTAGATCGTATTGCCAGGGGGCGCTACCTGACCACCATAGACCTGTGTAAGGGCAACTGGCAGATCCCCCTGGCCGAGGATGCTATCCCCAAGTCGGCATTCGTCACCCCCTTTGGCCTGTACCAATTTAAGGTCATGCCCTTTGGGATGAACAATGCCCCGGCTACCTTCCAGCGGATGGTGGATAGGCTCCTTGATGGCTTCCAAGAATTTGCCTGTGCATACTTGGACGACATTGTGATTTACAGTGGGTCCTGGGAGGAACACCTGGTTCATGTAGGGGTGGTACTGGATAAGATTCGGGTCGCTGGCCTGACATTGAAACCAGAGAAGTGTCTAGGTATGGCTGAAGTACAGTACCTGGGTCACAGAGTGGGGTGTGGGAGCCAGAGACCAGAGCCAGCCAAGGTAGAGGCAGTGGCTAACTGGTCCACACCTACCACTAAGACCCAGGTATTGGCCTTCTTGGAGACGGCAGGGTATTACTGCCGTTTTGTCCCTGACTACAGCACTATTGCTAAGCCCCTGACCGACCTGACGAAGAAGAACTTGCCTAAGCAGGTCCTAAGCAGGAAGCTGCGTTCCAAGCACTAAAACAGGCTCTTGTGAATGCCCCTGTCTTGGCTGCCCCAGTTCCTAACAAGCACTTTCTCGTCCATACAGATGCTTCCATGTATGGACTGGGGGCTGTGCTGAGCCAAGTCGGGGAAGATTGAGGAGAGCACCCTCGCATATCTCAGCCGAAAGTTACTACCCAGAGAAGTGAGTTATGCGGCAGTGGAGAAGGAGTGTTTGGCCCTGGTCTGGGCATTAAAGAAGTTAAGTCCCTACTTATACGGGCAAGAGTTTTCCCTTGTGACTGACCATAATCCTCTCGTCTGGCTTAACCGGGTCTCAGGAGACAATGGTAGACTACTGAGGTGGAGTTTAGCCTTACAACCGTATAACTTCACCATCAGCTACCGACCTGGTCAGCAGAACGGGAATGCAGATGGATTGTCCCGGCAAACTGACATCCCCACCACCTCCTAGTCCGGTCATCCCCAAGTTGGCCCGCCAAAGGGTCAAGCCGGGTCTGCCGGAGTGTCCCACAAGGAGAGAGCCGTGTGACAGAACCATCTGTATGCCTATTCGTGGTGGATTCGTCTATTTTGCCCTCCTTTCGTGTAAAGGGCTGTTTCCATAGCCCATGCATACAAATGACCCTTTTTACCGAACAAACCTATCGAACGGATGGCCACCCAGGATAGAAGTGTGCTGCTGGTTAACCTCTTGATCCCAATTAGAATGTTGTGGTTAACCGCAGACACTTCTCAATTAAATGTCGACCTCGAGGCAGCGGCCATTTTAGATCGCACGAAAGACCAGCGGTGTTAGTCATTGATTTCATGGAACTAAAAACTGACACTTTTTCTGCCGAACACCGCTGAAACAACGTGTCGCCCTGCTCCATCGAAGAAAGCATGCAAACTCCAGCCATTCGGGAGTTTGGAATCACACGAAAAGACTTAACACAGACAGATTCTTACGTGGAATGGGCATGCAGGGTACACCGCACAGCTGCCCACTGGATGGCAGGGTGCCAATCCGTCTCCGGGGAAGAGGTGCTACAGATGTTTTTGCTGGAACACTGCTTTGAAAAATTATCCCCAGGAGTCAGGGAGTGGGTCCGAGACCGCAAGCCCTCCACCCTGCATGAAGCAGCCCACCTGGCAGATGAGTATACAGATGCCCATAAACTGGACAATGCTACCGCTAAGACGCCTGCCAGAGTGGAGTACCGACCAGCAGCCCCCCCAGCAGCTACGACTACCAAAACCTGACATACCGCATGCCAGGTTCAACTCACGGGACTACTCCCAGCCCATCCGGTGTTTCGGATGCAAGCAGCTAGGTCACAAAAGGCTTAGGGATCCTATGGAGCCTGTCCCCCACCCACTCATACCGCTCTCCATCTACTCCTTCCTCTCCAGCATCTGCTCTATCCCGGTACTTCTGGAGAGTCGGGTCTGCCCGGGTTTCCCTCCCAAACTCCTCTGGGGAATCCCAGCTTAAAGGGGCCTGATCTAGGGTGCCAGTCGGGGAAGAGGGTCTTACCTGGGTCTCATCAGCAGGCGAGCCGGTTCCAGTAGCACGGGTCTGAGCACGAGTAGCCACAGGGTTAACGTCAGCGGGGCCCATCGGGGCATAAGCAGAGACCAAGGGGGCCAAATCGTTCCCAAGAAGGACATCAGCGGGCAAGTCCTTCATAACCCCCACATCCACGTGTCTAGCGCCCACTCCCCAATCCAAATGGACCCGGGCAACAGGTAGACAGAACACGGTGCCTCCTGCTACCCTCACCGCCACAGTGTCTCCAGTATGTTGGTGTTCTGCGACCAAGTTCTTTTGGAGCAGTGTCATAGTGGCTCCTGTGTCTCTCAATCCATTCACCACTCTGCCATTTAGCTTAACAGTCTGCCGGTGTTGCTGACGGTTGTCCTGATGGGCTGCCTGTCCAGGGTCGGCCTCGTGTAGTATGCCCCAGAACTCATCCTGCTCTATACAGTGAGCAGCAGGCTGATGTGGACGTGGATTCCCGCCGGCTGGTCTTCTCCATGACTGTGCTTGATTGGCTCCGTTCAGTGGGCACTCTGGTCGCTTGTGCCCCAACTGTTTACACCCAAAGCACCTAATGGGTTGAGAGTAATCTCAGGCATTGAACCGGGATGGCTGGGTATAATTGTTAGCCGGCGGTAGTGTTGGAGTGCGGTGTGCTGGAGGTTGGTACACGGCAGGGGCTGGAGGTGCTGCTGGTCTATACTCCGTTCTGGCAGGAACTTTGGGCACTGCACTGTCCAGTCTACGTGCGTCTGTGTACTCATCTGCCAGACGAGCAGCTTCGGGCAAAGTGGAGGGTTTTCGATCCCTGACCCACTCTCTGACTTGAGGGGATATTTATGGGATGATAATATTAAGCAGTCAAGAATTGCCCACTATTTAAATTCTCTTAGATCTTAGAGATCGTTTATCAAATAAGTGAATAGTATTCCATACAATTAAATCACAATTTGTTATAAAAATAGATTTATTTATTGTGACATATTAAATAACAATATTATTAGGCAGCATGCATGATAATAATCAGTGAATATTTAGTATAACATAAATATGCAATACAATGGAATGGCTATACACGTTTCAATGGCTAACAGCATCTTCTCTCACTTAATAAGATTTATGAGGGTAAGCTTCATGGACAAAAAGCAACTTCACACAGCGAAGAGCCATAAAACCTTGGCTAACAGTTAAAACAACTGAGTAACCCTTTCAATGCTGGCTATATCCTCCTAGGCATATAGTATCCTATTCTCCTGTGATTTTCAATTGAATAACATTTGAACCAACTCATTAGTCATTTCCTGGAACCATCCAATAAGAATAATCTACCAGATTCTATAAGCCGAATTTTAATTTGCCTAAAAAGATATCTTATCTTATTTTAGAGCAAATCAATACACCTGGATAAAACCAGCGGTATGCTAACACGTGATACTATCACATTAATATATAATTATTCTTAATTCCATCTGCAGAATGGAATGTTTATAACTATATATTCTTTAGTTAACTAAGATTTCTAAATATGGAAATCTGACCGTGATTTATCCAGTCATATATCATGCTATTAGTAAATTTTAATTAATTTAAATTAATTAAATAAAACCAGCATAGTTACCAGTTATGAAGATATTCTCATCAGATGAGTAGATAGTCCCAGAAACTTGATTCTTGAGTCTCTCTCTCTGCATGTCCGAATCGGAATCCCCAAACCTCAACTCATCTCTCTCTCTGCATGTCCGAATCGGAATCCCAAAACTTCAACTCCCTCTCTCTACCAACTACTTCTCTCTTCCCTTTGTCATTAGTTGGTAAGCCAATAGGAAGCCGTAGATGTGTTCAATCTATGGATGGCAATTTAGGTATTTGATCCATAGAGGGCAGTCTTGCCTAACTAATCCTTCTTATCCAGGAAAGAGTTAACTTTTCCTGACGACGATTTTGAGTCATTTTGGCTTATCTAAAATGACTACCATAACTTAGATTTGCTGTCAGTTTAAAGCATTTGTCTCAGTCTTTGTGGCAACTACTTTGATTGAAATTTGTAAAATTGACAGTTCTAAACTCAATTTCACCCCTTACTTACAATGGAACCTTGTAAAATTTAGAAAGTAAAATTAATTACTTAGTCTTCTCTGTCACTAGTGTCTGTGTTTATATAATGCATCTATTCCATTAACATTTAGACAGAGCATTCCACCCCCCTGCTTCATTGCTTATCACTTGGTTAGTGAAAGTAAGAAGAAACTATGTTTCTTGTTATCCTGAAGATAGCAAAATGGAGTCCGCTCTGTTCTGAGTGACTCTGGCAATATACACTTTTAATTTCTTTTTAGCACAAAATGTCTGTTGATATAAATATTCTGACAGACTCCGGCAGGTAATCGATCAAAACAGTGTTCCAGCAGAAACACTTGCAGCACCTCTTCCCCAGTTACCGCTTGGCACCCCGCCATCTAGTGGGCTGCTGTACGGTGGACTCTGCATGCCCACTCTACATAGGAGTCACCAGCTTGTTTATTAGTCTCCCTAAATTGCCGTCTGTATGCTTCTGGGGTCACTGCGTATCTGGCCAAGAGAGCATCTTTCACTGCTCGGTAGCTGGTGATCTCCTCCTCTGGAATGGCCCGGAACACTTCACTGGCCCGGCCGGATAACTTTCCAGAGAGGATGGTGACCCATTTGTCTGCGGGTACCTGGTGTAGGGCACACTGCCTTTAAAGTCAGCCAGGAACCCGTCAATCTCTCCCTCTGTTTCAATAAAAAATTTAAATGCAGCAAAGGGTACCTTTCTCTTTCCAATATTATTATTGGGTACCTCTGCTGCTGCAGCTCCTCTTTCCTGGAGTGCTTGGTGTGCCATCACTGCTACCTGCACATGTTCCACAATGTCTGCTGAAGGGTTGGGGCCAAAGTGTGCCAGCCTTATCTGGACTGCCCGGTTAAATTGTATCTCCTCGGGTGTTAAATCCAAAATGCTGGGCACATTAGCTCTCTCCATTCCTTGCGCTGCATCCATTTCCAATAGCAAAGCAATAATCTCACTGTGGCAAACCTAGCCACTTGGACTATAACCAGAGACTGTACCTTTAAGGGTTGCCTGTATGTCTGGGGAGATATGTGTTTAACTACGTATATTGTATGCTGACTGTAATGTATTGAATTGCCTGTATTTGCTATCCGCCGAATGCAGATAGCTGTTTGTATGGGGTTTTCCTTTCGTTTCACGAACGGCACTTTGGAGGGCCGTTCGTGAACCGAAAACACTACCCCTAATAGCCCACACACTTAGAGGCGTGTGGCGCTGGTTAACCGATTGCAACAATGTTGCAATCGGTAATTAGAGGCTCTCCTGGGTGGCCGTCGTTCGACTACCGACCATGCGGCGGTCGGCCATCTTGGATCCTTTGTTCCCTCAGCAGTGCTAGGTCGTCGAGCGCATGGTACTAAAAACGGCTACTCGACGGCACGAACACCGCTGAGCCTCCAGGACGTTCGGGAGTTCCAGGCCGTTCGGTATTTCATTCCCTGGGAGGCAATCGGTCTTTTCAATATGGTTTCAAATAAATGTGTTTTTCGTGCGGCGTTCGGTTATTTTAGCTGGGATCTGAGCGGTAATCTCACGAATGATGCACTCAGACCCCAGCTATCTACCGTACGTCCATTCGTGCAAATCAACAGTATATTCCCAAAGTTATGGATTTTTGTATAAATTGTCAGTTCTGCTGCACGAGGGGATAATCCACTTAACGGCATATTCTAGGAGGAGGATCCCTCTCGTGCAGCAGTGTCTGATGGGAGAAATGTGTTGTACTGTAAGTTCCCCATGTAGTCCCCTCTAGGAATGCCCCTGGGAGGGGACTCAGGAAACCCCTTGCATGGGGACTTGTATAAATTGTGCAGCAGAATTAAAGGACTTCAGTTGACTCTCAGAACTGTGTTTCGTCCGGTTACTGGGAGGTTGGGGATATTGCCTTGTTGTTTCAGCGCTTGACTGTGGATTACTTCCTGAACCAGCGGAATTCGTGGATTTAATATTGGCGTTCCGCTACACTCACGTTTCTTTAGATTACTTGCTGACCGTCCTCGGCGTTCAAGGATGTCTTTAAGGGTAGCACGCCTTAATTCCTCATACTGCATTTCCTCCACCAAACTGGGATGTGTAGCTGACCTTCTGTGCTGTGGGATTCATCCCGTCGCTTGCTACCAATTGTTAAGACACCCCTTTGTCTTTAAGGGAAACCGCCGCTTAGTTAACCTTCCCCCTTCGCAATATCAATGACTTCGTTCGCATAGACTGCGGTATACGAACCACCATCAGGGGAAGCGGTAATCTCCTGAACGGGATCCGTAAGAGGCTCCAAACTCCCGAACAGAAATCCACAAATCGCTGCTAGCCGCCGAACAAGTATATCCACCAAGCGGCTTTCGGCTCCAGCAAGCAGTCTCTAGTCGTCGGTAATAAATCCCCCCAATAATGAGACTAATGAGACTAAGCTCTGCATTGATGGTCAAACAGGATCTGGCTTTACTGTGGGCTACCGTCCGTATTTATGCAGGTCTCCCACTTGGTGGACACTCCCCTAGGGGACCAAATGACTGTAATGACAGATGTACATGGGGACATTTCAGACATACAGATACAAACTTTTCCCACAATGCAGTATGGTTTCCTCCCCTCTGCCCTGGAGATAATTGAGAAGTAATTCAGTTATCTCCAGGACAAAGACAAATCGCCATCTTAAATAAAATAAAATACCAGAAAACACACAAAAATATATAATTTCACAACCACCGAACCTCTGCATTCGTATCACATATCCCCAGATAGCCTGGTTCTGAGTGCATATTATTAGCGACTAGCGCTCAGATCCCATACGCATAGTTCAATGCGCCATGGAGTCAAAGTTCTTACAGTCTTTCGGTATGCGATTGACTCCATGGGAAGGCTATCTGGGTTAAGTCTTTTCGTGTGTTGTACAACTCCCAAATGGCCGGTGTTCGCATGCTTTCGTCGATGGAGCAGGGCGACCCGCTGTTTTAGCGGTGTTCGGCAGAAAAAGTGTCCGATTTTAGTTCCATGAAATCAATGCCAAACACCGCTGGTCTTTCGTGTGATCTAAAATGGCCGCTGCCTCGTGGTCGACAAGCGAACGACAGCCACCCTGTATTTTTGGTTTTAATTGAGAAGTGTCTGCGGTTAACCCCAACGTTCTAATTGGGATCAAGAGGTTAACCAGCAGCACACTTCTATCCTGGGTGGCCATCCATTCGGTAGGTTTGTTCGGTAAAAAGGGTCATTTGTATGCATGGGCTATGGAAACAGCACTTTACATGAAAGGAGGGCAAAATAGACGAATCCACCACGAATAGGCATACAGATGGTTCTGTCACACGGCTCTCTCCTTGTGGGACACTTCGGCAGACCCGGCTTGACCCTTTGGCGGGTCAACTTGGGGATGACCGGACTAGGAGGTGGTAGGGATGTCAGTTTGCCGGGACAATCCATCTGCATTCCCGTTCTGCTTACTGAGTCGGTAGCTGGTGACGTTATAAGGTTGTAGCGCTAAACTCCACCGCAACAGTCTACCATTGTCCCCTGAGACCCGGTTAAGCCAGACAAGAGGATTGTGGTCAGTCACAAGGGAAAATTCCTGTCCGTATTGTAACCGTGTGGTTCCCTTATTTACCACTATAATGTCTTAAAGCATAGAACTTAGTAGGACTAACCATACAGATATCTTAGCCATAATTTTATATAGTGTAAGAGATCCTCTATTTAACATATATAAATAATTGAGAATACAATATAAAATAAGGATTGTCTTGGAAGCAAGATTGTCTTTTGGATATTTATTATATAAAAATATAAAATCCATTATAGCAGAGTTTATAAGATTAAATTACATGCTTGCAAATATCATTAATAGGTTAACATACCCTTCTGAACATGTCATCATGTCAGCCTCTCTGTCATTTTAAGATGGAGCAGCGTCTGTCTCCAAGTCTCTCCTCTGTGTCTTAACATTTAAAAGTACACCTATTTATACCTTAGGTGTCTCCATTTTAGGTTACTGTAGTTCAAATATGAAAAAGTAACACTTCTTTTACTTTATTCAATTTAGGACCTCCCTTAATTTGGCAAACATACAAGGCCATAACTAAAGGGTGTATACGTCATGGAAATTTTCCTGACTTAGTTCAAGATGGCATCTTAAAGTCTGAATAGGTTATCTGTTGTTTATACTAAGTCGTAAGTGTACAGTCGTGGGAGATTCCCGGATTTGGGGAAGTTCCATTAACTTGGGGTTACCACAGTATATTGTGTACTGCAAGAGTCGTAGCATAGCCTTGAAGCTTGTTTATGCATTATTGTTATTGTAATTCGTCTGGGACAAAATGGCGCAAACATATTATGCACTGAGGTTATTGCTTAAAGAAACAGTTATGAAAAACAATATGTTCCATTTCTAACACCTTGTCAGTTTGCAATATCTCTTAAAGACAAAGTACACAGTTTAAGAAATACAACATTTCATTCTAAAACTTGTAATATTTGCATTTGCCCATAACACCCTCTCCATTAAACTGTGGGCATTGTAGCGCATTTCTTCCTTAAATTAGTAAACCAAAGTTCTCCAACTGTCTTTAGGTTTTTTATGCTCCCAGCATCTTAGATCATTGTTGTAACAGTAAAATATCCATAGTGTGATCTTTGCCTGTAAAGGTGGTTGATTAAAATGAGCAAAGCTTTTGTCTGGGAAAGAATTGAAAAGAACACCAAGTTCCAGAGTAAGATATTCTTGGATAGATCCGGATACGAATTGTAATCCAAAGTTAAAAGTAGTAATTGTATTTGTAATCCAAAGTCTTTAAAGGCCTGTAGAAGTTTACATTCCTTAGATACATTGCTGGAGGTTGTGTTTGTAGAATACCCGGGTATTTGTTGTAGAGTATAGGTTGTAGAGTCCAGCTTTCCAAGTATTTGGATAGAAGTGGTTGCAGATATTGAATCAGCATCATCTGTTATCACCGTGGTGATGGCGTTGGTATTTGTCTTTGCTTGTTTGCTTTCTGTTTTTTCCATGAAACATTTTTACACAGTTTATGATGTGTATAGATTGGATACTCTCCGATATTCTTTTACGGAATAAATTAATTGACAGCATTTCCAAGACATTGTCTTAAGTGACATGGATCCCATTATAGTAAGTGTTATGTTGATACAGCAATCGAAGTGGATTCTCAAGAACGCCTCTTTTTGCGGTATTTGAATCTTTGTAACATCTCAGTGATAGACATCTCACTGACATCAGGTGCTGTTGTGCTAAAAATGTTAACAGGTAAAATCTGTGGAAAAATCTGTACATTTGTTATAGTTTGTATAATAATGATAGATGAAATAGTAACATAGTTAATCTTTCTAGTGTTTTGTTTTAAAGATAAACACCCTTGTATATGATTTAGAGATATAAGGATAATTTGAAGCAGCAAAGTATTTACCGTCTTTGTTCAGAATGGTATGTAAAATTACATTCTCTTTAAATGTTAAAAATACTCCTTTATTCAAAATCTCTCAATATATTTAGAATAGTTGCTAATTGGAAATATGACGTTAATTATCTTTCTTTGTCCTGTTAGGGAATAAGTTGTCTTCTCCCTAAGATATAATTAGTAAATATAATAACTACAGTTATTAGTGGCTTAAAATACCAGAAACACCCCAAAATTGTCTTCAAAACATTTTTTTTTTTTTAACCAAGATCTGACAGATATTGTGGAAAGTTTCATTCGTGAGATTGGATGCTTAACAATGTGAATCTTAATTGTTTAAGTATATTTTTCAGTGGCTGTTGGATGTAGCTTAAGATGATTAGAATGTATTATTATTTCTAAAAGTGAGTTAAGAAAGCACTCCGATATAATATTGAATGTATTTATATTTTAACTCTACCTTTGTATAGGTGGTTTATGTACCTTTAACCATTACAAACCAAATTAAATTTTCTTTGTATTTGAAAAACTGATAAAATATTTGATTACGTGTATTTTAATATATATACATAGAGTGGTATGGATGTTGAATTTATATCTTTGACATCTTTTCACCAGTTTGCAATAGGTGACCTAAATGATCAATTTCCAAATTCATCATGTATATCACCTGGATGGGTTAATCCCTAATACTCTTTTACTTTCCATTGACTGGCCTTGGCTCTGGCAGACTGAATATTTTTATCATTATAAATAAACTTTATGATAGTTGAAGTAAAGTTTCTGCCTGTCTTAACTGTTTTTAACTGTTGAAGTATTTCACTTATATTAATTATACCACTCTGCAAACTTAAACGAATATCGAGTAGTTTCTGTTTTAATAAAAACATTTTATATTTTCTTCTAAAGTTTAAACATTATTCATTATTGCAGTTGTTATTGCAATCATATGATCTTTAACTATCATGATTCAATTATTCATCTTGGTAATTAGCTGTTATGCTCTTATACGTATGTTTAATATATTTGTTTGTAGGCCAGACTGCAGCTGCATATGGCATTTTAGCAATAATCTTCAATTGCGTTTCAGATATTCACAAAGTCTATCCACCTTTGTAATTAACACATTATGTGTTTCTTATACCATTAATTATAGTATCTGTATTATATTACACATTGTCACTGACACATTTCTGATACAGAGAAAAAAGTAGCATGATTGCTTTAGTAATTATAATTTTCGATCCATGCACCACATTCCTGAAAGTCCAGAATATAGCAAGAATCCTTTGTCGTTTGATTCTATGGAGCCATTTAACGTTTTGATTGGTATAGTTATACCAAAAGAGCAAGGAGTACATTGGTAGATCACATCTGCAACTGAACCATTACATATTCTTTGTTGTATCAATGTCTCTGTGTTTATGTTTACAGGAGTTCCTTGCTTTGCAGGTATGTACATAATTTGTAGAGTTTAAGAAAGGCTGCAAATCGTGCTTTAGTACAAGTGTCCCGTGATGTCAGGTTTCTGACAGGTTTTGCTGGTCTTTTTATATTCCATTCTCTTGTCAGGGCATCTGCTCTTAGTAAGCCGGTCTTGTTATTATTTATTAATTGCATCAAGGTTTCTTTCGTTAATTGATGTGTTTCTTCCGAATTCAAATTCATATGCCACCAAATGTCATTGTAAAGTTCAATGTTGCAGAATATTGTTCCAGGATGGTTTTTCACTCCAGTAGGAAATCTATTTTCCTCTTCTTCTGCTCCTTCCTATTAACCACTTTTTCTGAGTTGTAGGCAACAATCTGTGTCTTGTACTGTGAGGTGCTTTGATAGTCAATCAGGTTTTCTCAGTGCCATGTTCCATCGTAAGAAATAGCTGGTTGTTGACAGTTATCAGCCTTTATTTCTTTTTCCGGTCATCTTCTGTCTGGAAACATAAAAGCAATGTCCAGAATTAGCATAGCACTTCTTTTCAGCATAAGAAGGCTGTTTGCGGTAGTCACTCAATGATAAACTATATGGCAAAGTATTTTCTTAATCACCTTCATAGGTGCATCCAAAGTCTTTCACTAGCATCTGTCCCATCTTTTTCAGATTTCAGCATGCTTTGTCATCATTGTTGAGTCCATTATTAGGATTTGTAATAGTCCAATCACATCTTTCTCATGTATAATCGTTTTTTTGGAATGATCTCAATAGGTTCCTTGTGAAATACCAGTGTAGGTCACATAAGCAATCATTTCACTGTGAGCTGTGTCTCTCCTTTTGAGATAGTTCTTGGAGGTAGTCCTCACGATCACAGAACTTGTATAGTGTGCAGTCCAATTCAGTTCAGGTGCTTCCTGCTTGTTAACATAATCCCAATGCAGTTAGGGTTGATGTTATGATAATGCTGCAGACTGTAAGAAGGCGACACCATAACCAATTTTCTAGCATCCTTTTGCTTCCATCTTTGCATTTCTTTCTTACTGTATAAGATAATTCATGTTCAGTCTGTTTTCTCCAGAGTCTTTCTTATAATGATGTTGATGATTCATTTTTCATACATTCCATGTTAACTGTGAATGTATCACGTCTGTCTGTTCATCCTTCTCCTTCACATTTGCAGGTTCAGATGTCAGATCACGATTCAGTCTGTTACGTCGCTATGATTCTGGTGGCTTTCTGTTTGTTTTATCTTGTCATCTTTAACAGCATCCATTGTATCAGTCAGTGGTTCTGTGAACGTCCTGTTAGTATTTAGCAGGTTGTAAAATATCAAATTCACTGTTCTCTGTTGGCTCTGATTGTTCTCTGTAGTATAAGTTCTCTGAGTCACCCTCTCCAGGACAAACTGGCCAACAGTAGGATAAAGTTGGTGGTGCATGGCGAGTTGGGCTGGAAAAAAAAATTCTCTAAATTTCTCTAATAGAACCGATGGTTCTAAGCTCTCCCTGGTGCAGAAATATATTTGTCAGTGAAAAACATGTAACATTTCATATGGTGTCTCACCATTTATATCATCAGGTTTGTTGTGAATGCTCATCTGTACTTTAGGAATAAATAGATACCACTGTGTGGGGCAAGCAACTAGTAACTTGGTTAATAATCATTTAACCTCAGCATTCTCCCAGACCACAACCCCACTTCTTTGGGGGTGGTTGGGGCACTGAAATCCCAAAGTAACCCAAATGTGGTTGCCCAGTTTTAGGTTTCCTTTGCAGTAACTGCAGGACCACCATCCAAATGGATGGTCCTGGGATTATCAAATGCATACTAAGGAAGTGAGACTAGAAAATGTGGCATCAGAGGTTGCACTTCGCACAGGATATATCCAAGTAAACCTGGTACATGCATCAACACATACAAAAACATATTTATAACCATGAGATGTTGGCAAACTTCCAATATATAGTAATTCAAAAAGTATGTTAGATATTAATATTTCAATAAACAGTACATCAGTAATGTGGCAATAAGCAAATGCTTATGATTACTAAACACATGAATTACAGTATTTCCCATATTGGGCCACCAATATTCCTTTTCAGGAGTCAGAAGTACATTACCTCTCTCTATAAGAGCTTGTCCTAGCCATGAAAAAGCTTTTGGGCAAGTCTATCTTTCATCTATAGGAAGAACAACCAACATATTACATTCAATGGTTATTATGTAATTAACCCCTGTAAACGATAGGAGTATTTATACGGATACCAGGTGGATAAGGTCTGGATATCCTTGCAAGCATAAACTCTGCATCATGACAGAGAGATAGGGTATGCGATGTGATCCAGTGACCACAGAAAAGCGTTGGTAGACACATTGCATCAAAGTGCCTGTTACAGACCAACTACATGAGGAGAGGGTCCATGCTTTGTTATAAGCATGTCCATACATGTATTACAATGCCAGGCTTTCAATTTGTTTCCACAAAGCAAAATGCAGTTGTGGATATAAACTCACGACGTATCGTAAGAAAAACTGTTTGAACACCAGACTGAGATTCGAGATCAGTGAACAGTGGACCAAAATAGATAAATGAAATCCTATCAATTAATATACTTTCAATATATTTTCTTTAAATTACTTTATTCTCTGTATTAACTATGAAATATTAAAGTTAAAACAATAACATTTAAAAGCCAACTTTTAGTTGCATAGGAATTACAAGGCCGTTCATAATGTGAGATAAAGAACAGCTTTTTAAAACCGAATAGTCTGTGAACACAAAATGACCTTGCGCTGAAAACTCACTTGCAGGGGAAAAACAAAACCTCTTCTTTTTTCTTTTTCTTTAGTAAGTTAATTAATTAATTAAACGTAGTTAGAACCTCCCTCAAAGTCCCGATGACTTTGCAAGAAACATGTCGTCCTTAAATACTGGGTAAGTCTATTAAACAGTGACATTGCATTGTTACCCTGTGTATTATGTTGTCACAGCTATAATGTGCAGTATAACAAACTATTTTATAAGTGTTGTGCAATCTGTTCATTAAAAGCCAGTAGTCTAGTGAGCTATAGAACATTTATTTATTTATTCTTTAAAGCTCTGACCTCAATCGGCAAAGCAATATTGTAATGGTGTCCATTGCAATCTGCTGTCTTACTTGCTGCTCTCAAAAATTCTGAATATGTTCAGAGATTTCTTGGGCAATAATAAATCCCCAAAAAACAATAACTTTGCATTTATGTTAAACCTGCCTGTTGTAAACGTATTCTGCATATTTCTTGACATAAGTACTTGTACTTGAATCTGTTTAACAAAGCTGTTTATATTGTGGTAAAAATATATATTATTATTATTATTATTTATTTTATTTATTTATTTTTTAACTTTGCTTAATTTTTAAAGATACCTGCATATTTAATTAAATTATGTCTAAATATTTAATTATGTCTTTAAGGCATAAAATATCTGCAAATTAAGATTATATCCCAAAATGCATGTTCTGGGTGTTCCCGTGATTCCTTTTCTATCATTTATTTATTTAAAAAAAAAAATTAAGTCTGGAATCTGATTCCTTTTGGGATGAGCACCCCTCTGAGCCCCCCAGTTTTCAGAGGCTTCTTTGGAGGTGACCACTGAAAAGTATAGATTCTATAAAATAGATGTGAGGGGGCATTGGACCCTAATGATACCTTAATAATGTCACCTTAATTATACTTTTCATATAGCAGATATGTGATATGCAATGTGTTTTAATATATCAGAGTATTATCACTTTAATTGACACTGCATTTTTTTATGCATTATTATTTTTCTTTTCTTTTTTTAATTTTAATGTCTGTTTAGAATATTGCAGGCTTTGCAATATCAAATTAATTTTGCATTATATATATTCACAATGCTCTTACAACATATTATTAAAATTAGCCTCTTTCAGAATTGTAGAATATGTGGTGGAACTGAATCCTCATATATGAGATTTAAAACTGTATTTTTATTTCTACTCTGTGCCCTGATCAGTATTTATATACATAATTGCAGCAGCATATAGCTTTTAAAGAAGCAATTATTTCACCCTTCATGTGTGGTTGACTGTGGACTTTTTAAAACCTACTCTTTATATTTATTTATTTATGCAGAGAATTTAGAGAAGCAAAGGATATATAACCACCTGTTGCCCTTTTTTCTAGGAGGGTAGTATAATTTCAACTCTGTTTAGGAAAAAATATGAGCTAGTTAGCATATATTATATAAAATACATGCTGCAGTGTACTGCATTGAATGCATTTAAAAGCCATGTATTTTTCTTTATGGCTGTATGTAATAATGTTGTTCATAATTTGGAATATAAAACAACGACTTCTCAATTCCTTGGAATGTTTACATGTCTCTATCTCCGCAACCTTGGCTGGAAATTCCAGACTCCAAAAATAGTTATGCTGTTATAATTCCTGATTTTCAATCAACAGCTAGCCTAACTGACAATATGGAAAATATCACTGTTTTCTAAAACCTTTCTTATATAGTGGACATTAGAATCCAGAACGCAGTAATGCAATAATTAAAAATCCTGTCTGTCTGTTGCATGAATGTTTTCATTAAGCCATAATGCATTTTTCTTTGCATTCTTGGAATTAGACTTCAAATTTCATCGCTCTGTCTTATCACTTTTCTTTTGACAACATTTTGCATTAATCTTTTTCCTGTGCATGCATACTAAGCAGAACATATCCCCTTGTCTGCAATCCACTGTCCTGGAACTAACGGGCCATGCTATGCTGGTGTATTAGGCATTTGTTCTATTATGATATTAGTTAAGATCCACAATTTCAGCATTGTATGCTAATTACGTTGTACCTGACACCTAAACTCACAGTGCCTTGTTCACATTAAAATCATCTCTAATGATCTCTCTCTGAGTCTGGGCTACAAGTAGCTCAATAGATTATTGATATTTCAAGACTTGTGCCATGACAAAGTATTGTGTCTTCTCTTACGTATAAGAGGTTACCTAGGTATTTATTTTATATTTAAAGCTTCCAAGTACAAAGTCCCTTCGTGGTCGCCAATTGTAACCGTGTGGTTCCCTTATTTACCACTATAATGTCTTAAAGCATAGAACTTAGTAGGACTAACCATACAGATATCTTAGCCATAATTTTATATAGTGTAAGAGATCCTCTATTTAACATATATAAATAATTGAGAATACAATATAAAATAAGGATTGTCTTGGAAGCAAGATTGTCTTTTGGATATTTATTATATAAAAATATAAAATCCATTATAGCAGAGTTTATAAGATTAAATTACATGCTTGCAAATATCATTAATAGGTTAACATACCCTTCTGAACATGTCATCATGTCATCTCTGTCATTTTAAGATGGAGCAGCGTCTGTCTCCAAGTCTCTCCTCTGTGTCTTAACATTTAAAAGTACACCTATTTATACCTTAGGTGTCTCCATTTTAGGTTACTGTAGTTCAAATATGAAAAAGTAACACTTCTTTTACTTTATTCAATTTAGGACCTCCCTTAACTTGGCAAACATACAAGGCCATAACTAAAGGGTGTATACGTCATGGAAATTTTCCTGACTTAGTTCAAGATGGCATCTTAAAGTCTGAATAGGTTATCTGTTGTTTATACTAAGTCGTAAGTGTACAGTCGTGGGAGATTCCCGGATTTGGGGAAGTTCCATTAACTTGGGGTTACCACAGTATATTGTGTACTGCAAGTGTCGTAGTATAGCCTTGAAGCTTGTTTATGCATTATTGTTATTGTAATTCGTCTGGGACAAAATGGCGCAAACATATTATGCACTGAGGTTATTGCTTAAAGAAACAGTTATGAAAAACAATATGTTCCATTTCTAACACCTTGTCAGTTTGCAATATCTCTTAAAGACAAAGTACACAGTTCAAGAAATACAACATTTCATTCTAAAACTTGTAATATTTGCATTTGCCCGTAACAGTATAAATAGGGGCTTAACTTCTTTAATGCCCAGACCAGGGCCAAACATTCCTTCTCCACTGCCGCATAACTCACTTCCCGAGGTAGTAACTTTCTGCTGAGATATGCGACAGGGTGCTTTCCTCCATCCTCCCTGACTTGGCTTAGCACAGCCCCCAGTCCATACATGGAAGCATCTGTATGGATGAGAAAGCGTTTGTTAGGGACTGGGGCAGCCAAGACAGGGGCTTTCACAAGAGCCTGCTTCAGTGCCTGAAACGCGGCTTCACAAGCTGGAGACCACAGGACCTGCTTCGGTAAATTCTTCTTAGTCAGGTCAGTCAGGGGTTTGGCGATAGTACTGTAGTCAGGGACAAAACGTCTGTAGTACCCTGCCGTCCCCAAGAAGGCTAACACCTGGGTCTTAGTGGTAGGTGTGGGCCAGTTAGCCACTGCCTCTATCTTGGCTGGCTCTGGCCTCTGGCTCCCACACCCCACTCTGTGACCCAGGTGTTGCACCTCAGCCATACCTAGATGGCACTTTTCTGGCTTCAATGTTAGGCTAGCGGCCCGAATCTTATTCACCACTACCCCTACATGAACCACTGTAGATCGCAATGTCATCCAGGTGTGCACAGGCAAATTCCTGGAAGCTATCAAGGAGCCTATCAACCTTCCGCTGGAAGGTAGCCGGGGCATTCTTCATCCCGAAAGGCATGACCTTAAATTGGTACAGGCCAAACGGGGTGACGAATGTCCACTTGGGGATAGCATCCTCGGCCAGGGGAATCTGCCAGTAGCCCTTACATAGGTCTATGGTGGTCAGATAGCGCCCCCTGGCGATATGATCTAATAGTTCGTCTACCCGGGGCATCAGTGGTGGTCCGCTCGTTGAGTCGCCTGTAGTCCACACAGAACCGGGTGGTCCCATCTTTCTTAGGTACCAGAACTACAGGCGAGGCCCAAGGGCTATCGGAGTGTTCGATGACCTCAAGCTGGGTCATCTCTTGTATTTCCTTCCCCATTCCTTCTCGGACTGCTTCAGGGATACGATAGTGGGGCTGTCGTAGGGGGGTCTGTCCAGAAATCTCTACCTTATGTACAGCTAGGATAGTGTACCCTGGCTCCTGCGAGAAAGTCGCCTGGTTCTCCCACAGCAGCTGCTTCGCCTGTACCTTTTCCGTGGGGTTTAACCTGTCCCCTAGCTGTACAAGGTTAGTAAGGTCAGTCTGGGGCTCCCTTTCTAGTAAATCGGGGAGAGGTTGATTCTCAGGGTCATCTGCAGCCGGGGCACACACTGCAGCAATATCTTCGGGTCTCTCCTGATACTTTTTCAGCATGTTCACATGAAAGGATCTCTGAATCCTTTCATCTGCACCGCTGGCGATAAGGTAAGTAGTATCACAGACCTGAGCTACTACCTTATACAGGCCCTGCCAAGATGCTTGCATCTTGTTTGCCTTCACAGGCTTGAGCACCAATACTTTCTGCTCAACCTGGAAGACCCGCTGGCGGGCACCCTGATCGTACCATCTCTTCTGTCTCCCCTGGGCCGCCTGGAGATTCTCTCTTACCATCAGAGACCATTTCTCCATGCAGTCCCAGAGTTCCAGGACATATGGCACTATGGGGATCCCCTCCTGCTCTGTCTCCCCCTCCCAGTGGCCTCTAATGAGATCCAGGGGTCCACGGACCCTTCTCCCATAAAGTAACTCAAAGGGGGAGAACCCAGTAGATTCCTGGGGCACCTCTCTGTAAGAAAATAACAGATGAGGCAGGAACCTCTCCCAGTCTCTGCAAGTGTCTGTAAAGGTCCTCAGCATCTGCTTGAGGGTGCCGTTAAAGCGCTCGCAGAGACCGTTAGTCTGTGGATGATACGGTGAGCTAAGCAGCGGTTTAATGCCGCACACCTTCCACAGCTGCTGGGTGAGCACAGCGGTGAATTGGGTTCCCTGGTCTGAGAGAATCTCCTTAGGGAACCCGACCCTAGTAAAGATCCTAACCAGGGCATCAGCAACCGTCTCTGCCTCTATATTAGACAGCGCTACTGCCTCTGGATAGCGAGTGGCATAGTCCACCACAGTGAGAATATATTTCTTACTGGATGGACTAGCCCTGGCCAGTGGACCCACAATGTCAACGGCTATGCAGGAAAAGGGCTCCCCTATAATAGGCATCGACAGTAGCCTAGCCTTAGGGTGGTCCCCCCGTTTTCCTACCCGTTGACATGTGTCACACGTACTACAGTATACCCACACAGCCTGATTAAAATTGGGCCAAAAGAAATTCTGGGTGATCCTATAGGCTGTGCGGCGGGACCGTACATGACCAGCTAATGGAACATCATGCCCTATCCGCAGCATCTTCTGCAGGTATTTTGCAGGTACCACTAGCTGTCGATTCGGCAGAGGGGCAACGCTTTTATGGGGAGGCTTAGGGATCCTATACAGCCTGTCCCCCACCCACTCATACCGTTCCCCATCTACTCCTCCCTCTCCAGCATCTGCTCTATCCCTGTACTTCCGCCTGGGTTTCCCTCCCAAACTCCTCTGGGGTATCCCAGCTTAAAGGAGCCTGATCTAGGGTACCAGTCGGGGAAGCGAGTCTTACCTGGGTCTCAGCAGCAGGCGAGCCGGTTCCAGTAGCACGGGTAGTCACCGGGTTAACGTCAGCGGGGCCCATCGGGGCATAGGCAGAAACCAAAGGGGCCAAATCGTTCCCAAGGAGGATATCAACGGGCAAGTCTTTCATAACCCCCACATCAACATGTCTAGCGCCCACTCCCCAATCCAAATGAACCCGGGCAACAGGTAGACGAAACACGGCGCCTCCTGCTACCCTCACCGCCACAGTGTCTATGGTATGCTGGTGTTCTGAGACCAAGTTGTTTTGGAGCAGAGTCATAGTGGCTCCGGTGTCTCTTAATCCGTTTACCACTCTGCCATTCATCTTAACAGTCTGTCGGTGTTGCTGACGGTTGTCCTGATGGGCTGCTTGTACAGGGTCGGCCTCGTGTAATATGCCCCAAAATTCCTCCTGCTCGATACAGTGAGCAGCAGGCTGGGGTGGACGCTGATTCCTGCCAGCCGGTCTTCTCCACGACTGTGCCTGGTTTGCGCTGTTCAGTGGGCACTCTGGTCTTTTGTGCCCCAGCTGTTTACACCCAAAACACCTAATGGGCTGTGAATAATCCCGGGCATTGAACCGGGATGGCTGTGCATAATTGGTAGCTGGCAGTAGTGTTGGGGTGCGGTGCGCCGGGGGTTGGTAAACGGTAGTGGTTGGAGGTGCTGCTGGTCTGTACTCCACTCTGGTAGGGACTTTAGTGACCGCATTGTCCAATTTACGGGTGTCTGTGTATTCATCTGCCAGACGGGCAGCTTCGGGCAATGGGTAGGGTTTTCGGTCCCTGACCCACTCTCTGACTCCTGCAGGTAATCGGTCAAAGCAGTGCTCCAGCAAAAACACTTGCAGCACCTCTTCCCCGGTTACAGCTTGGCACCCCGCCATCCAGTGGGCTGCTGTGCGATGTACCCTGCATGCCCACTCCATGTAGGAGTCGCCAGCCTGTTTGTTGGTTTGCCGGTATCGCAGCCGGTATGCCTCTGGGGTCACTGCGTACCTGGCAAATAGGGCATCTTTAACTGCCCGGTAGCTGGTGATTTCTTCCTCTGGGATGGCCCGAAACGCTTTGCTGGCCCGGCCGGATAACTTCCCAGAGAGGATAGTGACCCATTCGTCTGCGGGTACCTGGTGTAGGGCACACTGTCTTTCAAAGTCAGCCAGGAACCCGTCAATCTCTTCCTCTGTTTCAATAAAAATTTTAAATGCAGCAAAGGGTACTTTTTTCCTTCCAATATTATTATTGGGTACCTCTGCTGCTGCAGCTCCTCTTTCCTGGAGTGCTTGGTGTGCCATCACTGCTGCTTGCACACGTTCCACAATGTCTGTTGTAGGGTTGGGGCCAAAGTGTGCCAGTCTTATCTGGACTGCCCGGTTGAATTGTATTTCCTCGGGGGTTAAATCCAGAATGCTGGGCACATTAGCTCTCTCCATTCTTTGTGCTGCATCCATTTCAAGTAACAAAGCAATAATCTCTCGTTTCTTTAGATTACTTGCTGATCGTCCTTGGCGTTCAAGTATGTCTTTAAGGGTAGCACGCCTTAATTCCTCATACTGCTTTTCCTCCACCAAACTGGGCTGTGTAGCTGACCTTCTGGGCGGTGGGATTCATCCCGTCGCTTGCCACCAATTGTTAAGACACCCCTGGCACAAAGGAGTGAAACCGCCGTTTAGTAAAGCTTCCCCTTTCCCAATAACGCAAACTCCATTCGTATAGACTCCAACCGTATGAACTGCAATCAGGGGAAGGCGCCAATCTCCCAAACGGGACCCGTACGGATGCTCAAACTCCCGAACAATAATCCACGAATCGTTGCTAACAGCCGAACAAATATATCCTCCATGCGGTATACGGTTCCAGCAATCATTCGCTAACCGTGCAATCCAGCAATCATTCGCTAATCCACTACAGTAAATCCCCCCCAATAACGAGACCAAGCTCCAAATTGAGGGTAAAACAAGAACTGGCTTTACTGTGGGCTACCCGCCCATATTTATGCAGGTCTCCCACTTGGTGGACACTCCCCTAGGGGACCAAATGGGGGACTGTAATGGCAGACAGACATATGGCACTTGCAGACACACATGCACACAATATTCCCAGAATGCATCCTGGTTTCCTCCTCTCTGCCCTGGAGATAATTGAGAAGTAATTCAATTATTTCCAGAACAGAGGCAAATCGCCATTTTAAATAAAGCCTGAAAAACACATAAAAATAAGTAATTACACAACTACCGAACATATTATATTCATGTAACACATCCCCAGATAGCCTGGATCTGAGTGCATATTCTTAGCGAATAGCGCTCAGATCCCATACGCACAGTTCAATTGCCATGGAGTCAAAGTCTATTACAGTCTTTTGGTATGCGATTGACTCCACTCCACATAATCTGGCTTCCAGATTATGGTCTATTCGTATAATCCAAACTCCCGAACGGCCGGTGTTCGCATGCCTTGTCGACTGCAGTCTGCGGGTTCCAGCGGTGTTCGGCAGAAAGAGTGTCCGTTTTTAGTTCCATAGAATCTGCGCCGCACACCGCAGGTCTTTCGCATGGTTTAAAATGGCCGCCGCTTCGTGGTCGACATACGAACGACGACCACCCTGCATTCGGTTGTAATTAAGAGGTGTCTGCGGTTAACCACAACGTTCTAATTGGGATCAAGAGGTTAACCAGCAGCACACTCCTCTTTTGGGTGGCCGTCCGTTCGGTAAGTTAATTCGGTAGATAGACAAACAGACGAATAAGGGTATACGAACAGGCAATTCCACGAAAGGAAGGCAAACTAGACGAACCAGCAATAATAGTTATACAGATGGGTCTGTCACACCCAGTAATTCCTTGCGGTATTCAAATTAACGTAAGAAAGGATTATCTGAGACAATTCTGGATGAGATTGCTGCCAAAGAATTACCTTAAAAAACTAAATGAGTTTATCACATTTGTCATGCAAATTGATAATAGATTGAGAACCAGAGAAAATACCAGAAATAAGACCAGACGTATGGCTATGCCTTTAGCACCCCGTTTCTCCAGACCTGTTGTTCCTGACCTCCCTGGACAGTCCGAACCCGAACCAATGCAGTTGGGGGTCACTAGACTGTCATAGGCAGAAAGACAATATAGGAGAAAAGAGGGTCATACTGCGGTAGAAAAGGACATATGAGGAGTTCTTGTCCCATACATCCAGAACACTTCCGCACCTAAGAACCTTAAGGGGACAGGACTTAGGTGTAATGGATATGTCCTCTGGGAATAACAAAAATAGATTCCTCCTTGAGATTTCGGCCATATTTGATGAGAAGGACTTTTTATGCAAAGCCCTGATGGACATTCCATGCCTATCAAGGAGAGACTATCACCTCTAGCAGTTGAAGCTATTGACGAGAGACCCCTCTCTTAACCCTTAATTACCCATGAAACCTTGTCCATTAACATTTCCATTGGTGCTCTACACAAGGAAGACATAACCTTCCAAATAATTTCTTCTCCGTTATGTCCCATCATATTAGGATTCCCTTGGCTTATTAAGCACAATCCTCATATCGACTGGGCAAAAGGGGAGATATTGGAATGGGCCAAGGACTGAATTGAGAGATACATGTTGCACATTACTAAGAGAGTTGGCATCATTACATTACCCAAGGTTCCCATACAGTATTGGGATGTTAAGGAGGTATTCAGTAAAAATCAGTCCAATATTCTACCTCCTAACAGGTCATACGACTGTTCCATAAATCTATTACCCGGCGCTATGCCACCCAAGGGAGTAGTGTATGCCTTATCGCCACAGGAGAGTAGAATAATGGAAGAATACATCAAAGACTCCCTAAGTAAGGGCCACATACGCAAGTCATCTGTGGCGGAACTAACCGCGCCACTATGCACTGGAGAAGCCTGGTTGCTCGCCTGCTCCCTTTAGATTATGGCCCTGCAGTTCAGAGCTGTTATTTTCCCTGCTGAAAGGTTTATTCGTGCCTTTCTGCCAGGGTGTTCGGTAGATTCCATCTACCGAACAAACTACCGAACGATGGACCACCTGGGAACTGGAGTGTGCCGTCAATTGACCGCCCAGAAGCTGCGGTTAACCGCAGCTTAATTGATGAATGCTGGGAGGCCTTTGTTCAGTTGCCGAACACGTGGCAGCGGCCATTTTACCTCCCGAATGGCCAGCGGTGTTCAGCGCCTAAACTTTGGAACTGAAAACAGACACTTAATTGAGCGAACACCGCTGAGCCACAAGGCTCCTTACCTTCGCATTCGGTAGTGGAACCGAATGACTATTCATTTGGTAATTTAACTGGATAAACAGCATCACCCCAGATAGCCATGCCATGGAGCCTATTCGTGTAACGCAAGACCATGGGAAAGACTTTGGCTCCATGGCGATTGAACTGTATGTATGTGATCTGAGCGCCATTCGGTAATAATGTGCGCTCAGATCTAAGCTATCTGGGGATATGTAGAATGTGTATGTTTTATGTACTGAATGTAACTATATGTCATTTTATGTCTTTTACTGTCTGTTTTCTGCCATGTGGTTAATGGAGTTTTGCCTCTGTCCTTGGAGATAATTGGATTACTTCCCAATTATCTCCAGGACAGAGAGGAGGGATTGTGATGCATTGTGGGATTGTTGAAATGTGTAAGGCTGTGATTGGCCCTTTTACTCTTTGTGTCCCAGTCTTCCATCTGGTCTCCTAGGGGAGTGTCCACCAGGTGGGCGACCTGCATAAAAGCAGGGCAGTTAGCCCGAGTAAACCAGATTCTGCTTGACCCTCAAACGAAGTGTCGTCTCGTCTTTGGGGGGATTTACTGTATGCTGTTAGAGACTGATTGCCAGGAGTGTAAGTCGATTGGGGGCTTTTCCTGTTTGTCTGCTAACAGCTATTTGTGTATCTCTAGTTCGGGAGTTTGGAGCACTACTTGATATGCAGTTCAGGAGTTCCGAGTATTCCCTTGGTTGCAGTTCGGGAGTTGGTGAATTCGTGGGTTTGCAGTTCGGGAGATTGGGGCTTGCAGTCGCTGTCTGTGCATCTGAAAAAAGGGGAATATCGCCTAAACGGTTTTTAACCTCTTGTGGGCCAAACGATCTGTTACATCATCCTCACCTGCTAGTGCAGGGTTCTTTTTTGTAGAAAAAAAAGACAGAGAGTTACGTCCGTACATTGACTACAGGGCACTAAACAAACTCACAATTAAAAATGCCTATCCAATTCCACTCATTTCCGAATTATTTGACAGGCTCCAGGGTGCTAAAATCTTTACTAAATTTGACCTTAGGAGTGCATACAATCTGGTAAGGATTAAAGAGAATCACAAGTGGAAAACTGCATTTAACACTAACACGGTTATGCAAAGCGCCGGCTGTGTTTCAGGACTTAATTAATGATGTACTCAGGGACTATATTTATTCATTTGTCCTGGTATACCTGGATGATATCCTTATTTATTCTCATGACCTTCAGACTCACCACAAACAGGTCAAACAAGTATTGCAAACTTTACTTTATTGCAAACTAGAAAAGTGCTGAGATATGGATTCATCCTAACACCAGCAAACCCTTCATACTGGAGGTTGATGCCTCCAAAACTGAGGTAGGGGCTGTTCTCTCTCAGAGGGAGAGTCAGGACACCCCTTTGCATCCATGTGGGTACTTCTCTAGAAAATTGTCTCCCGCTTAGTGTAATTATAAAATTGGAAATAGAGAGTTGTTGGCCAGTATATTAGCGCTTAAAGAATGGAAGCATCTTTTGGAAGGTTCCAAGGATCCCCTTTTAATCATTACTAACTGTAACATAACCCCCTGTTATTGCATGGAACCCCTAACCCAACCATGTGCAGAAAAACCTCTGTTCAGTCCCTATATTTGCTTCATGGAGCTAAGAACAAAGACCATTTGTTTATTTGCATTCATCCAAAGCAACTAATCGTGTATTTGGCCATAACCGTTCGGATACCGAAATATCTGTCGAACGAACGACCTGCCACCCAGAGTAGGAGTTTGGCACCAATTAACCCTCTTGACCTGTAAAAAATGCAAACCCCTCAACATTCCAAAGGTTTAACAGGATGGACGGCGTTCGTCTGTGCGAACACGTGGCAGAGGCCATTTTGTTTGGTCGAACACACTCAGCGGTGTTTGATATTCGACCGTGTGGAACTGATTTCGGCTACCTTTTCCCACGAACACCGCTGAACTTCTCCCTTCTGTGCGTTCAACTAGAATCATACGAACAAGGCGCTAATTTGTGACTTTATTCATCCGAACAATCTGCATCCATTGATAGCAGGCAGTTTGTGTACTTTGCACTTATTATAAGGGGAAAATAGACCGACCGCATAGACTGAATTTGTGGAACTGCTTTGGGCAGAGAAATGTGTGAGCGGTCGGTCACATCCACCTTTTTACTAACTCCTGAACTACTGGTCCAATTCGAGCCATTTTTGGATATGTTGTTTCCCTGGTGGTACTAATTATTACAATGTCACTTTTGTTAAAATCCTATGCATAGTTTTAGAGTTATGGAAAATGTGAAAAAGTATATTTTTTAGCTTGGAGATAATTGAGCTTATATAACGATTAACTCAATTAAATTGTAAGCAGAGGGGAGGAATGCACTGTAATTAATGGGTGTACTTTTACTGTAAATCTATAACTGATTGGCTGCTGTATTTCCATTGTCAGTGCCCCACCAGGTCCAGTGGGTGGTAACATTACTGTAATACCTGCATACAAAACCCATTCACATCTCCTGTCACTTTCTCTCCTCCGACTTCTAGCAGCTGGTGATGTCTCTCCCAATCCAGGGCCCTTCACCTTCTCTACACACACTAAGACAACCAGAAACCCCACAAACCTCATCACAATACCCTGCCCTTTATCCTCACTTACCAAAATTCATTGTGCACTCTGGAACGCACGCTCCATCTGCAGTAATTTAGAATCAACAACCATACACGACTTTATCATCTTAAACTCACTCACACTGCTTGCACTTACAGAGACCTGGCTGTCCCCCTCTGATAGAGCTTCTCCTACCTCTTTATGTTTTGGTGGGCTACAATTCTCTCACACTCCTAGACTCAACTGTAAAGGAGGCGGCGTAGGCATCCTTCTCTCCCCTCAATGTACCTTTCAACCAATCATAACTCCCCCTGCCCTATCCTTTTCTTCTTTTGAAGTTCACACTGTCTGCCTATTTAAACCCACTCCTTTAAGAATTTCTATCATCTACCGCCCCCCTGGTTATCCTAGATTATTCCTTGAGCACTTTTCTTCCCGGCTTCCCCACTTCCTCTCATCTAGCATTCCTTCCCTTATACTTGGGGATTTCAATATCCCAATCAATAACCCCAATTGCACTGATGCCTCTCGTCTGCTCTCTGTAACCTCCTCCTTTGGCCTTGCGCAATGGTCCAATCTAGCAACCCATAAAGCAGGAAACACTCTTGAGCTTGCCTTCACCAACCTCTGTACTGCCTCTAATCTCTCCAATATTCTCTTTCCTCTATCTGACCACGATCTACTTACTTTTGACATTGGCATACCTAAGACCCAATTGACACCACCGTCTGAACATCACTCTCACAGAAACCTCCAATGTCTTGACCTAGAGCATTTCTCCACTAATCTCCAAACTCTCCTTTTACCTATCTCAAACCTCACCTGTCCTGTCCTAGTTCTGCAACCTCCTTCTACAATTCCACCCTCTCCTCTCCACTAGACATCATGGCACCTTGTACATTTAAACGCCGCAGGCATCCCCAACAACAACCCTGGCACACCAAGCTTACTCGATACCTCCAAAAATGCTCCAGAACTGGTGAACGCTGTTGGAGAAAGTCTCACTGTGCATCTGACTTTCTCCACTATAAATTTATGCTGAGCTCATACAGCTTGGCTCTTTCCTCTGCAAAAGTTAATTACTTCAATACCCTCATAACCACACTCTCCCGCGAACCCAAACGACTATTTCACACATTTAACTCTTTTCTTCGCCCTGCTGTTCCTCCTCCACCTACTAACTTGACCGCCTCAGACTTTGCAACTCACTTCACTGACAAGATCTCTACAATCAGAGAAGAGATATCTCATCTTTCTTCTTCCCCTTATAATACTTCCCCTAACTTCACTCCCTCTGCTGTTCTATGTTCATTCGCACCCGCTACATTTGAAGAGGTTTCTGCTCTGCTCCAGTCCTCCCGCCCCACCACCTGCTCCCTAGATCCAATTCCATCGCATCTCATCCGTACTCTGTCTTCTTCTCTTTCTCCACCTCTCACTAAAATTCTCAATCTCTCTCTCTCTCCTCTGGTATATTTCCATTGCCCTTCAAACATGCAACTGTAACCCCAATTCTAAAGAAGCCCAATCTTGACCCTAACTCCCCATCCAACTATCGTCCTATCTCGCTACTGCCTTTTGCATCCAAGATCCTTGAAAAATTGTGTATGCGAGATTGACAGACTTCCTCGAGTCCAACTCTCTGCTAGACCCGCTTCAGTCTGGTTTCCGCGCTAAGCACTCTGTGGAAACGGCACTGACCAAAGTATCCAATGATCTACTCGCTGCAAAATCTCATGGTCACTACTCTATCCTAATTCTCCTTGACCTGTCTGCGGCTCTTGACACTGTTGATCATCAACAGCTTCTTCTCATCCTCCGCAATATCGGTGTACAAGATACTGCTCTCTCCTGGTGCTCCTCCTACCTCTCCCAGCGCTCTTTCAGTGTTTCTTTCTCTGGATCGGCTTCTTCTCCCCAACTCCTCTCTGTTGGTGTCCCCCAAGGTTCAGTTCTTGGTTCCCTACTGTTCTCCATCTATACTGCCTCCCTTGGTAAACTCCTTAGCTCCTTTGGCTTCCAATATCATTTCTATGCAGATGACACGCAAATCTACCTGTCCTCTCCTGATCTCTCCCCGTCCCTCTTGACTAGTGTCTCTGACTGCCTCTCTGCTGTTTCTAATGGGATGGCTGCCCACTTCCTTAACCCCTTAAGGACACATGACATGTGTGACATGTCATAATTACCTTTTATTCCAGAAGTTTGGTCCTTAAGGGGTTAAACTAAACTTGACCAAAACTAAAATTTTGGTCTTTCCTCCCTCAAGTGTTACTCCTAAATCTGTCTCCCTCCAAGTCAACGGTGCTACCATCAGCTCCACCACGCAGGCTCGCTGCCTAGGTGTTCTCTTTGACTCCAACCCCTCCTTCAAGCCTCATGTTCAATCTATTGCCAAATCCTGTCATTTCCATCTAAAAAACATTGCGCGCATCTGCCCCTACTTAACGCCAGATGCGACTAAGGTGTTGGTCCATTCCACTGTCCTTTCTCGCCTTGACTACTGTAATCCGCTTCTCAGTGGTCTTACGTGCTCCCAGCTAGCGCCGTTACAGTCCATATTGAATGCGGCGGCAAGGTTCATCTTCCTGTCCACACGCACCTCCCATGCCTCACCGTTCTGTCAATCCCTACATTGACTTCCTATAAAATATAGAGCTCAATTTAAAATTCTGGTTCTTGCTTTCAAATCTCTACATAATGCTGCTCCCACCTATCTATCCTCCCTTATACACAAGTATGTACCGTCTAGGCCCTTATGATCTGCTGAAGACTTACGTCTATCTTCTGTCCGTACTCCCACCTCTGATGCTCGCCTTCAAGATTTCTCGAGGGCTGCACCGTTCCTGTGGAACTCGCTTCCCTCCTCCGTTAGATGCTCACCCAGTCTCCACTCCTTCAAAAAATCTTTAAAAACCCACTTCTTCATAAAAGCGTATCCATTAAACTGTTAATAGCTCCTGACTGATTCCTCTTCTGCAACTGTCATTAGTCTAATACTATCCTTACCTTTTTGTGTCATTTTACCCCACTCCCTCTAGCATGTAAGCTCATTGAACAGGGCCCTCAACCCCTCTGTTCCTGTGTGTCCAACTAGTCTGGTTACAACTACATGTCTGTTCGTCCACCCATTGTAAAGCGCTGCGGAATTTGACGACACTCTATAAATATCATAATAATAATAATAAAAGAAACTGCTTGTGTGGTCATTAAATCAGTTCTGCTTAACCCTCCAAAACGTAGCCTCGTCTTGTTATTGAAAGGGAACCTGCTCAGCATAATCACTAGCTTTTTTAAGAGCTCTGCTCTCTGCTCCTCTCACTACTCCGATCCAGCGGATGGGATATCGCAACTACACTAGAGCACAGCATCTTGCCGGGAAGTACGACGTCTCCAATGGCAGATACCCCTCTACAACCTGGGTAGCCGTTACACTGACATAATTTCACACATATTAGGGACACTAAGCGACTGCCTTCTAGACAGGCTAGATGGTCTTTGTTCCTATCTCGCTTCAACTTTCTTATGACTTACAGACCTGGTCCCAAAAACGTGAAGGTGGAAGCCTTATCTAGACAGTTTGACACTGAATCAGTGCAGGAACAAGAGACGTCCACTATTGTTTCACCTGAGTGTATTATCGCTTCCATTGTCCTTTCATTATCTTCACCTCTGCTTGGCACTATAATGGAGGCTCAGTCTCAGGCGCCATGCAATAAACCACTAGATAAATTATTTGTTCCATTGAGTGAGAGAATGTCATGAGGGTGTTCCACAACAACGTGACTGCTGGACACCCAGGCATTAATAAATCCACGATGATGAGATCAAAGATGTTAAAGATTATGTGCAGGCTTGTTCTATTTGCACAGTTTGAAAGTTCCTCATAAGCTTCCATGTGGCTTGTTGCGCCCACTTCCTGTGCCTAGTGTTCCGTGGTCCCATTTGTCCATGGATCTCATTGTAGAACTTCCTAGTTCTAATGGCTATACCACCATCCTTATGGTGGTTGACCACTTTTCCAAGATGGCTCATTTTGTTCCATTCAAAAAGTTGCATTCCTCTCAAGACTTTGTTGTTATTTTTATACGGGAAATTGTCTGTCTGCATGGCATTTCTCACAAGATTGTGTCTGACAGAGGTTCCCAGTTTGTGTCTCGGTTTTGGAGGGCTTTCAATAAGCAGTTGGGCATTGAATTGTCTTTTTCGTCCTCTTACCATCCCCAAACCAATGGCACGGGTGAGAGGGCTAATCAGCCATTGGAATTGTATCTGCGCTGTTTTGTTAATAGCATTCAAGATAATTGGTCCAAATGATTACCCTGCGCCGACTTCGCTAGGAACAATGCTAATCATGACTCTTCTGGACAAAGCCCATTTTTTGTTAATAACGGTTGTTATCCTACTGTCCTGCCAGCTGTCTTCTCTGACACAGCTATCCCTGCCTTGGATGATCACCTTGCTTCTATTCGTGATACTTGGACCAAAGTTCACTCCGCTCTCAAAATAGAGGCTGATCGTTTCAAGTTTTATGCTGATAAACGGCGGGGTGCCAACCCTGTTTACCAAGTGGGTGAGAGGGAATGGTTATCATTGTGGAAAAGGTGAGGTGGTATTCTGTGAGGTGTCGCCCAGCTCTAAACCCAAAGGCTCGCCAATCCATTTAGTTTTTGTTACCTTCTAGTCAATAACTTACCCCTCGATATCCATAAACCTACCTGTTCTTCTGCTAGACGTGATTACAGCTGTATCGACCCGTCGAGGTCAAGCTGGAGTAGAGTATTGAGAGGCATTCACTTATAAATAATTTTAATGGAAAAGTAAAAAAAAATCAACACAAATTCTTTCTACTTTAGCACTTAATCAGGATCCTCAGCAGATCTCCAACTGGATCAAAGTCTCCTCCACAGGAGGCATCACACATCGAGGTCATCATCTGGATCCTCTTCATCCATATTGTCACCAGGTTCTAGGTCATAAAATATTTTTGCAGAGCTGCTAGAGGCGTCAAGGAGGGAGATCTTTCTGAGAAAGAACATTTGGAGAACAAATACTTTATATGAACAATATATAATGCCTTCACTTACAACAAGTCCGTCCGTATAATATTCATGTCATGCAGAGAAAAGTCACACTTGGGGGAACCAGTCCATATAATATCATTCACATCATGCACTGAATACACAGGGAATAGTCATAGGCTGGGGAATCAGTCCGTATAATATTCACATCATACAGAGGAAATAGTCACAGGCCAGGGAATCAGTCCGTATAATATTCACATCATAAACCATGAATAGTCACAGGTCGGGGAACCAGTCCGCACAATTATCATTCCTCTCACTTTTTTGCACTAAACACGTATGGAAGAGCCGCAGACTCCTTGAGTTGACGCTCAGCATCCGATAGATGGAGGTTAAAGGTTAGGTTCATGGTTGGATCCACCTGTTGGCAGATGAATATAATTACACTGGGGATAGGGGGCAGAGGAGCAACTGGAGTAATCAAAGGTAGTTTGTTACAAGGAGCCAAATTACTGATTGGTTTGCAGCCGATTGGAGTGTTCGGATAGATAGAGAGGAATTTAATAAAAGATATGGACGGTACAGTTTATCAAGAAATCACAATTGTTTTAACTAGAAAAGGGTTTTCAAGGGAATAAAATAAAATCGAATGTTGATGGAGGAAATTAAATATCCCTCCACCAAGGTACATTTACCCCATATAGAGAGCCTGTGCACTCAAATACAACTTGTTAAAAAAGATCTGGATGAGAAGAACATAGAGTGTGTTCTGAAAGTATTCATGTTTTAGCCTATGCTACAATGGTTTACATCAACCTACACTCATACCCCATAATGACAGAGTTTTTACTATACTGCAAACATATTAATCAGAAAAGGCTGAAAGGTCACACTGACATAAGTATTCACTCCCTTAATGCATTGCCTACTTATGGCAGCAATTAAAGCCTTGAGTCTTTTAATGTTTCATGAAGCTTAATGTTTCATCATCTCTGCAGATCCTCTCATGTTGCATGGGGACCATCGGTGGACAGCTATTTTCAGGTCTGTCCAGAGATGTTCGACTGGGTTGTCCCTAAGCTAGTCTTGTGTTGTCGTCCTGTTGGAAGGTGAGTGCCGGAGTGCTCTGGACTAGATTTTCATTAAGGACCACTCTGTATTTTGCGATGTTCAGCTTTCCTTCAATCCTGATCGGTATCTTAGTCTATACTGCTGAAAAACGCTCCAAAGCATGATGCAGTCTGTGAAAAACTCCCTGTGACGAAGTGCCCTTCGCCACTTGTGCCTGGAGAGGACTGCTTGCCCGCCTCTTGCCCTGTGACTATGGCCCCTGGGATGTATTGCCCTTTAAAGACATGATTTGGGCATAATGGATTTGTGTTGTGCTGCTGCTGGCCCTTTAAGAACCATCTGGGGACATACTGTGGAGTTACTGGGTGGCCACCATTTCCTGTATCAGAAGCACATGGTGAGAACAATGGATGGCGGCCATTTTAACTCACAGACACTGTTTGGACTTTTCAACACGGTGCCATCTCGCCAGTATTTGGTGCACAGAGACATCGTGCAGTGGTTTTGGACTATACAGCAGGGGACACATTATAAAGTGATTGTTTTTCATTTAGCCTGTATATGTTCTGCAGAATCTGCATTAAACTGTATTTTCCAAAGTACTGAACGGATCTGGGTGAATTTTGGATATGTGGTTCACCCAGATCCCCCGGTTCCAAGGATATACTTTTTATGGGGTTATTGCATGTTTTGGGGTCCCTGTGTGTTTTATGAAACTGTATTATTTCTGGCCAGCAGATAATTGAGCTTTGTGTATTGTAGAAACTCAATTATCTAGCCTGGCCCAGAGGAGGAGTTTTGTGTTGCATAAATTGTGAGTTCTGTGTGCCAGTAAATCAGTCTTGTTCCAGCATTAAGCCTTGGCTCATGTTTGGGGGAAGGGATACCTACACTCTGGGGATTGCTATAATCACTTACTCCCCAGAGGAAGCTCTTGCAATAGCTTGATTTGTTCCTGTTCCTGCTCTCTGGGGAAAGAGAGGTTCACCCACTGAAGCTGGATCCTGGCCTTGGGTCCAGGGTGGGTGGAAACAGCAGAGACCCCGGCGCAGT